AGGCTGGGTCGGAAGAAAGTGACCACAAAGGGCTGTTTTGGACCAGGTGCCTGGCGCCCCAGCAGACCAGCCAGGCCAGGGTCCACGCTGTGTCCTGAGACAGAGAGGACAGAGCGAGGTCAGTGAGGATGCAGCGAGGACCTCTCTGACAGGCCCAGGCAGCCCCAGCAGCACGGAGGCAGAGAGCCGAGGGTCTCATCTGAAGACCCAAATCCTCAGTGCAGCCCAGCGTCCTGCAGGCAGGCCTGAGAGGCGGTGGGTAGTCATTAGGCGCCATTAGGAGTGATGACCAGGAAAACCACCATGTGTAGAGTCCTGTCCACATCAGTAACACACTCCTCTCACTCAACCTGTGGGGTGAGCTTGCATTTCATTTGCACAAGACACTTCAGTCACAGGCAGGTCCCTCAGCACCAGGCCCCCCATGGTGAGGTCTCTGAGACCCTGCTTTATGCCCCTAGGCTTCCTTGGTTGTCTGGTTGTGCTCTCTGGGTGCCCCAGCAACTGTGGGGACTGATGGCATTCAATGGGTGCTACTTTGATCCCATAATTAAGACCCCAAGGCTCAGGGGTGGAGACACTTGAACAAGTTATTGTCCACTGAGATAGGCTTAGGGCTAATGCTGGAGCAGCTGCAGCAGGGGCATGATTTGGGCCCAGCTTTGGGAATAGTGACAAAAACTCAAAACAGCCATTGAGTTGATTCTGACCCAAACTGACCCTAAAAGACAAGGTAGAACTGCCTCTATGAGTTCCCAAGACTGTAAATCTTGAGGATTAAAAAGCTTCATTTTTCTCCTACTAAGAGGCTGGTAGTTTCAAACTGCAGACCTTGTAGTTAGCAGCCCAATTCAATACATGCCATACCACCAAGGCTCCTGGGAATAGTGACACCTGTGCAGATGGGACTTTCTCCTAAAGCTGCTGAACAGCTGAACATGTAGGAAACAAACATTAGCTCCGGGAATGTAGACACCATGGAAAACACCTTGCTGAACTTTTTTATTTCTATCATTGGGAAAGAAAGTTGTAACCCTGAGATGTTATAAAATGAAGTCATAGTTTTACTTTTCCTTTACTTGGCTTTGAAGAGTCCTGATAATATAGTAGATTACACCTTGGTCTGCTAACCATAAGGTCAACAGTTTGAAACCACCGGCTGCTTTATAGGAGAAAATGAGGCTTTCTACTCTTAAAGAGCTAGTGTTGGAAACCCACAAGGGCAGTTCTACTCTGTCCACAGAGTCAGAATTGACTTGGGTGCATTGATTTTGTTTTTGCTTTAAATAAAAATGGGGCTTTCTCCCACAGCTGTTGAAGGGTTGAACGTGGCACAGGAAAACAAGCATTAGCCCTGGAAATGTAAACAAAGCCACATTTCTGGCCTTTTTATTCCCCAATATCTCTTTTATAGGCTATAAATTTGCAGGAAGCAGTTGGTGGGTTTGAACCACCAACTACTTGATTAGTAGTAGGTGTTTTAACCATTGTGCTGCAAGGACTCCTTTCCTTGTATTAAAACTCAAAGCTCATTCCCACTGTGCCACCAGGACTCCTTCTACTGCACTACAAAGCAAACCCACTGCCATCAAGTGCCTTCTGACTCACTGTAACCCTGTATAGGGTATGTGAGGCTGTAACTCTAAGGGAGACAGATGGCCTCATCTCTCTCCCTTGGGACTATGGGTAGGTCTGAACCAAAAATCTTGCAGCTATCAGTCTGATGCTTACATGACAGGCCCACCAGAGCTCCTCCCTTGCACTGAAATACAGGTGCAGGAAAAACTTTACGTACCTGCTCCACTGACCTACAGATTTATTTGCAGACATGCTTAAGAACAGATCTCACTCACAATGCTGAACTGCCTGTCTTTAGCCCTGGGAAGGGACAGACTGCCAATAAAGCCACGTTCCAAGCCTTTTTATTTTGAAATATCCTCTTCTGTTTTAACTGTAAAAGCAATACAATAACCACAGTTAAAAAAACACAAACTACTCCTAAGCTTTTTCATGGAGCCCACATTGGGTTACTAATTGCAAGGTCAGCAGTTCAAAACCACCAGCTTCTCTGAGACAAAAAATAAGATGAGGTTTCTACTGTAGAGTCAGAAACCCACAGCAGCAGTTTTGCCCTGTCCTGCAGGGTTGCCCTGAGTCGGAACTAAGCTGAGGGCCTTCTCCCTCACTGCAGCACATACGCTTTCTTCAGAGGTGTTTTAATCAGTTTGTTTTCAAGTCTTACAGCTGTCAGCACAACAAAGACGCCTGCCTGCTTTGCTCACTGCCCCAGCCTTTTTACATCAGTTTGAGGGGGCTTTTAAAAGGCAGGTGGGAAAAAATGGAATAAAAAGATAATGATATCATTTTAACTTTTTGAAACCCCCTTGTATTTTCCTAGTTGTCAAAATAAGTTTCAACAATAAATATTTCAAATATGGAACATTACTTAGAGTAGACACATCATATGTTCTTTAGCTATTAACTTATTGTTAGACATTTAGGTTACTTCCTGGCTTTCATTAAAAAAGGTGAAAATACAATCTTTTTTAATTTTCATGTGAATTTTTTTATATAGACTCAGGATTAATAGCCCATTTTTATGTCTCTTAAAACACAATATTGTGTTTAATGTGCAAGAGAGCTTTAATGTGGTGGAAGCTCTCATGTGCACGCACATACACACAAACACAGGTGCCCATGCATGTACATACATTATAATGTGTACACATTTTAAAAGGATATGTTTGTCCCAGGTGGTGGTTATTAGTTGCTGTTATATCAGCTCTGATTCATGGAGACTTTCATGTAATAGAACACATGCTGCCCAGTCCTGCAACACAACCATGATATGTTAGAGGTCACTTTAAAAATGACTATATTGATCCATCTCAACAAAGTTGTACCTCATTTTTGCTGACCAGTATGCTCCACAACAAGTCTAAAATAGTTCACCATTATAGACAATAGGGCAAGGACACTACTTGCCTGCCTCACCCACAGTTTCACTCAAAGGTCAGCCCATAACCAGCAGTGTTCAGACCAGGTTTCCACTGGCCATTATTTGACTGTCAATCAAATGACCCAAAAGCCAACCTTTGATCAGTGACGTCAACACACACACACACACACACACACACACACACACACACACACACACACATGAATGCACTGGGCCACTTGGAGGCTCACTGTCAGGAATGTGGACAAGAGCTGCAGAGACAGGGAGGGCGTTAGCTGCAGGAGCTGGGAGAAGCCATTCAGTAGTTTGGGTCCCAGCAAATCAAAGGTATGAGGAAGCAGAGGTCAGAGGACACAGGAGCCACAAGGAGAGCCAACTGTGTACAGAGCTCAGGGTAGATGATTGAGATCAAAGGGAGGGATATAGGAGCAGATGACAGCAGGGAGCTAGTGGCCACCCATGCCAGGCTGCCAGTGGGGGTTCTAGCTCGCCTCCTATTATTGACTACAGTCCATGGCAAGCACAGGTGGGGTGTGTATTTACAGAGCACTTCCTGGAGGGCTGCTAGCACCCACCACCTCTCCTCCTGCAGCCTCTCTCAACAGCCAGTTCTATGATACCACCCCCACTCCAGATGGTCCTGCTGTCCTGCTAGGGACATCTATATGGCTACAAACAGCAGGGTGCAGGGAAGAGGTTGGGATTCAGGGAACTAAAATGGAGCAACAAAATGAGAGGGCCCGGAAGAGACATCAGAGGTGCCAAAGGGAAGCAGCTATCTTTGAGACAGTGTTTCTGTCCATCACACCCTCACCTTGGCGTGTTATTCACGGGACAACTAAAATGGTGCCTTGGGTGCACTCTGGGAGGTACACCGGTGTTTTCTACAGATCTTGATTGAACTGTGGGAAACAGAAGGATTTCTCCCAAGTTATCTCCCCCAAATATATGCCAAACCCAGGATGCTGCTTGCTACACAAGGTAAATAACTACACTAGAAGGTCAACGAAAGTAGGTCAGAAATTATTCTCCTTAAGGGTATCCAGAGCAACCAGACTGTATAATCTGACTCACCCTCAGTAGGGCCACTCCCTTCGGGTATTGCTCCCTTGAAGGAGTGCCCGAAGGCAAGCCCGGGACCACTCTAGGATGACTAAGCTTTGGCTACTATATTGAGTCTAGGGTCCACCCATCTTGCCACATATGTACCCCTATTCCCTCCCTTTACTATTGTATGTACACCCCTAAGTTGTCCCCCCTCCCCATTGCTTGTATGGCCTATGTTACAACCCATTCTCATGACATACATTGTTATCTGTAATCAGAGGGCTTGCATGCCCCCAAAGATATATAAGCTTTGGTTAGAAACAAAACCTCATAAGAGCTCTCTCCTGCCCTCTCGTCCCCCACCTCCATGTGTACCACTAAGAGGAGCTGAGGTAGCATGCTAACATGAAATGTGCCTGACTTCTTTATTTTACTCTCTCTCCCATCTCTCCTATTTCTCTATGACTTTACTATAATCTTTACATACCTTAACCGTACAATTGTGCCTAC